TAACGTGCATTCTGGTTAAAAACAGCACAGCAAAACTGAAATCCAATCTGCTGACATGAGGCACCCAAAGGAAGCTTTTAAGCCTCTCTCAGCACTTTTCTGCCCTCCTAATGCAAGAGAAAATGATGAATTCCTATATTGCTTGCATGCTATAATGTTGAATTTGTGTTATTTATTTTCTAAACCACCATTTGCAATACTGAGCCCAAAAGGAGGTCAATAGCAATTTATGCTGTTAAAATAGCATTTTATATCTATAAAACAGGTATCTATAGCAACATGGAAACACTCCAGGTGAAAAATCACACTAAACAAAACCTGTCACTTTTCAGAAGTTTAGGCAAATTGTGTTCCAAAATCAAACATATTTATACATCTACAGGTGACTTGTGAAGAGTCAGAGCTCACAAGAAGAAGGTATGAAGAGCTGGCACTTAGAACTTCAAAAGACAAACCAATGGATCTTTGAACCACTTGGTAACAAATATGTTTTATCACTGTTGTATGGCCTAGTCCCAGCATAGAATTGTTGCTTATAACACCTTATTAAGAGTTATTGAATTATGATTCTCAGCATTCCTTCATCAGTTTTGACTCACCTTAATGTTTTATCTGTTCCAACTGACAAAGCTAATTTCCCAGACGGATGAATAGAAAGAGATGTCACATGTCCCCTGATAAAAACAAAACATTAGTCACATATATTATTTACAAGGAAAATAGACGTGAAAATGTACGTGAATATGATTAAGAAACTCACTTGTGTGCCTTAATGGATTTCAGACATTCCCATCTCTTTGTGTTCCAGATGCAAATGAGTCCATCTTCAGCCCCACTCAGTAGATGTGCAGTCCCATAGAACTCCAAACAAGTTATTGTGCCTAGAAATACAATTAACATTATTGTACACACCAAACAGTTATTGCACAAATTAACAGAGAACATACAACTTAACAGAAAAGCTTCTTCCAACAAGACTTGCCAGCTACTACCCTAACCTTGGGAAAATCTAAATTATTTCCAAACTATTTCTTAAAAAAAGCCCTCAAATTTTCTTGCTCTGTTCAATAGTTTAATAGACTCTATCAGGCACCCTTTACCCACACACATCTGAACTCCATCTGGTCTGTTCTCCGTCACAGCAGTACCCAAATGCTGTGGCAGAGATGGCAGAGAGCTTCTGTTAGTGATAGGAATGCTCCCATATCAAAGCCCTGCTCCTGACACACAGCTGAATTTACTGTACATGCTGCTTCCCCGTAATCACCAGATATATCTTACATGAGTTAAATACAGCTACCATGCTCAGTCTAGATCCTGTATCTTTTTGGTTGATCAACACTGAGCTACAAATGACCCAAAGATTTATTTGGACAGCAAAGAACAGATGACTGTACCAATAATACAGACAAAAGGTGCACCCTCAGCAAGTTTGCAGATGACACCAAGCTGTGTGAGTGGTGAGGGATGGGGTGCCATCCAGAGGGATATGAACAAGTTCAAGTAGTGGGCCATGAGAACCTCAGAGTTCCACAAAGCACAGTGCAAGGTGGTATCAGCACAGGCTGGGGGATGGACAGATTGAAGGCAGCTCTGCTGAGAGGGACTTAGGCTTGCTGAGGGATGAGAGGCTGGACATGAGCCAGCAATGTGTGCTTCCAGTCCACAAGGCCAAATGTGTCCTGGGCTGCATCAAAGGCAGCATGGGCAGCAGGTTGAGGAAGGGGATTCTGCCCCTCTGAACAGCCTCTGCTGTTCTGAGACCCTACCTGGAACACTGCATCCAGCTCCAACAGGTCCCCAGCATAAGAATGATGTGGACGTGTTGAAGCTAGTCCAGAGAAGGGCCATGAAGATGATCAGGGAGATGGAATATCTCTCCTGTGAGGAAAGGCTGAAAGAATTGGAATTGTTCAGATGGGAGGAGGCTGCAGGAAGACTTTATTGTGGCCTTCCAGTACTTGAAGGGTGCTTACAAGAAAGATAAGGAAAAATCTTTTAGCAGGGCCTGTTGTGAATAGGACAAAGGGTAATGATTTTCGACTAAAGAGGGTCAGTTTAGATTAGATGTAAGAAAAAAGGGTTTTTACAAGGACAGCAGTGATACACTGAAACAGTTACCCAGACATGTGCTTGACACTCCATCTGTGGAAACATTCAAGGCAAAATTAGATGGGGCTTCTGCATAACCTGATCTGGTTGAAGATGTCCCTGCTCACTGCAGTGGGGTTGGACTAGACGACCTTTAAAAGATCCTCTCCAACCCAAACTGTTCTGTGACTCTATCATGTACTTTGCAGTTGGAATTCAGCCAGCACATACAAAGAGAAATGTACCAGGTTAACTCTTCTGGCAGCAGCATCCTGCTCTCACACACAAACTCTCTCTTTTGTGTGGCTCATGCACACTTTTGACAGGACAGTAACACTAGGAAAGACGGTAACTGGGAGTAGGCATGGTCTAGATAAACTGTCCTGACAGAAGAAAAATAGCACATAAGCCATTTGTGGGTCATAACTTCTTAACCAGTTAATACTACAAATAATTTAAAGAAGCAGCAATATTTTTGAGCTAATACCAAAATAATTTTTTTTACCTTTTATGCTAAAAATCTTACCTTGTTTGTATCATGACACCGTCATGGCTGCAACACCATGTTGCTACACTACTTATTAGAAAAAAGAAAAATCAGTTTTCTTCTTCTGGCAAAGGCCAGTTTTTCAGCTACAATTTTTTATCATTAATGTTTTTTAACAAAGAAGTGCTCCATTACCATTGTGCTGTAGCAGTGCCCCATGTTCTATCTTCTTTTTCATGTCATAGATTTGGATTGTCTCATCTCTGCTCCCAGTGACCACATATCTGTTATTCACTGCTACTGCTGACAACGAGGCAGAGTGGGCATGATGTGTAAAATCAGGGGCGACTGTCCAGGACTGCAAATGTAAAACAAACAGGTCTTTCTCAAGCTTACCATAAAAAGCTTCCACTTCATTGTCCTGTAATTTTATTTTTTAAAAGCAAAAGCTGGAAAAGTATACGTTTAAAAATCAGAATCACCAAATCAAGTAGGCTGGAAAAGACCTCTGGGATCATCACGTCCAACCCATGACGGAACATCACCATGTCAATCAGACCATGGCACTGAGTGCCACATCCAGTCTCTCCTTCAACACCTCCAGGGATGGTGACTCCACCACCCACCTCAGCAGCCCATTTCAATGTCTAATCACCCTTTCTCTGAAGAAATTCTTTCTAAGGTTCAACATAAATGTCTGCTGGCACAGTATGAGGCCATGTCCTCCTGCCCCTGTCACTGGCTGCCTGAGAGAAGAAGCCAACCCTCATCTGGCTACGTTTCAGGCAATTGTAGAGAATGATAAGGTCCACCTGAGCCTCCTTTTCTCCAGAGTAAAAACCCGCAGCTCCCTCAGTCACTCCTGATTGGACTTGTGCTCCAGACCCTTCAGCGGCTCCACTGCCTTTCTTTGGACCTGCTCCAGCATCTTAATGTCTTTTCTGAACTGAGGGGCCCAGAACTGAACACAGCAGTCGAGGTATGGCCTCACCAGTACAGGGGGAGAAATTATACTTAGCTGTAAGCATAATGAGATCTTATTGAGTTAATGTGCTGTTAGGAGATTACGCCAAAGGATTTAAGCGTGCAAACCGTCCCGTAAGCTCTGACGAAGCTGTCTCTGCACAGAGACAAATCCCAAGAGCAAGAGAGAAAGATTCTCTCATTTTTCATCACGGCAGGCCGGAGACACGCCTTCCACCTGGCCCCAGCCCACGTCCCATCCATCCTCCGCGCCGCGTCGGGAGGAGCGAGCTCGCACCGCGGCCTCCCGCACCCACGTGGCTGCCCGCAGGTTCCACCACTCCCGAGAACCCTTCAGGGCAGCCAGGGGGCCGAGCCCGGCGGCAAAGGCCGCGGGAGAGGCCGCCCCGCCCCCGCAACGCGCTTTAAGAGCCCCGGCGGCGGCCGGAACCCCGGCTGCGGACGGGCGGGACGGTGAGTGCCGGGGCGGGCGGATGGGGCATTTCTCTCACACACTTTCCTGGAGGTGTTTGAGACCGGGCTGGATGGGGCTCTGAACACGCTGCTCTCGTGGAATATGTCCCTGGCTATGGCACGGGGTTGGAACTAGATGGCCTCTTAAAGCCCCTTCCAACCCAGACCGTTCTGTGATTCCGTGCTTCTTCCCTCGCCTCATTCCCCCCCCCTCCTGTTACCTGGCCGGGCCGCGTGGCGAACCCCAGCAGCACTTGCTCGTAGCACCCCGCCAGTAGCTCCATCCGCCTCCACACGGCGCCGCCCCGGGGCTCCCGCCGGCTCTTCCGCTGCCCGCCCGTCCGCCGCGCTGCCTGCGCCGCTCCGCGCTGGCCCCGCGCCTGGCGTCCGGCAGCGCCCGCGCCCAGCGGGGGAGGAGAATCCTGTGGGAGCCGGCGCGGAGCGGGAAGCACCGGAGGTAGCGGCGAGGGGTCAGGCTGCGCGCGGGGCAGCCCGCGCAGGGGGGGCCTCGCGGGGCGGAAGCGGCGCTGGCGGTGATGGCGGCGGGGAGGACGAGAGGCGTTAGTGCCGGGATCGCGAGGGAGGGGGGAAGCGGTGGCCGGGATCGGGGGCTGCTAGTGGGGAAAAGGGGCGCGAACCGATCTATTGGGACTGAGGCGGGGTGGGATGGGCTGGGATGTCCGGCCCTTTCCCTCCCCCGGGGCCGCGGAGCTCCCCCCTCCCTCAGGGCGAGGAGGCCCCGGCGGCGCTTGGGCCGAGGCATCCAGGGAACCAGCCCCTCCCTAGCCCCGGGCCCCGCCGGCTTTTGTTGTTATTTCGTCGGGTTGTTCTATTATTTTTTTCATTACTTAATTTCTTATCGCGTAGTACAGTAAGTGGGAAGTGCGGCCCTGGCGCCAGTGTGGCCGCTTGCGGAGGGCCGCGGCCGGGCGGGGCGCACTTGTGGTCGGGCTCTTCCCGTCGTGCCGAGTGGCTCGGTTAGAGAAATGCGTCACGGCTCGGGCCTGGACTCGGCCGGGGTCACCGAGCCGGCCCCAAGAGCTCTGGGAGGCTCCCTCATCCCCGTACCCTGACCCAGCGCCTGGTGTGATCGAAATTAGTGCCGAAGGAAGGGGGGCGGATTGCCCGCTGCCTGGGTGAGCGGTGTTTGCACGGGCAAATCAGGCTGTGGATAGCTTCGCCCACCTTTTTGCCCGTATGAACGCAATAATGCAAAAAAGTGGAATAAAATGAAAAGCTGCTATGATGTGTGTGTAATCCAATTAAGGATGTGTTTGAATTCTGGAGACTGAATCTGCCCCACTGCTTAAATCAAAGCTAGCTGTGACTGTGGATATAGTTAAAGCAAACGTAAAAAATGTATTGTATTGATATGTGCTGTTTTAACTGCTTTTAAAATGTTTTTGTTTTCTAGTGAAAAGGTCAATATTGGACAGAGAGGCATACAAAACCGGTGTTGCATAAAAGTTGGCGATAACTAACTGAGAAGCAGTTGTATCACTTGCCTCCTGATAGCCTCTTGCAACAAGAGTGCTCTGCTTTGCCGTCTTCCATTAGGTCTGCACAAGTGAAAAGTGGTAAGTTTAAAAAAAAGTTACTGCACAGCTGTGAATTCAAAAATCAGTATTTCAGTGTTGATTGCATGGAGGAGTTTATGGGTTCTTTTATTAAAAACTAATGTTAGAGGAACACTGATATTTGCATTAATAATGACCACCCTCAACAGGAGGAAGTTGGTGCCGTTAATTCTTTGTAATGAACATTATCAGTTGGCATGTGCTCAGCTTAGCATATGCGAACCGTACCAGTATTTTAGGCCTGTATTTTAAGGGCTTGTTTCTACTTGACTCTTTTCTTGGCCTCACAGTGGCTGTGGGGATGAAGTCCATAGTTACTCTGAACAGCAGCATGCATGGATGCTCTAATTATGGTTTATGGCTATCCTGTGTCAAGTTAGCCTAATCCATTTTCAAAGATAGTGCCCTGAACTGCACCGCTCTGCAGGCAAGCCTTTAAGGCATTGTAGATGCTCTGTGTTTATTGCATTATGTGGCTATGGATTTAATCAGCCAAGATGTAAAACATTACATAAATTCTTGTGTGGAAAAGAGGACTAGAACTTCAGCAGTCAAGTATCTACACAGGATTTACACCAAATGTAAAAAATCAGTAGGGGTAAAGAACACCTGTGTGTGAAAGTAAATGCAGAATATTTTGCAAATGAAATTGGTTTTTGCTCTGATTTATATTTGTTGGATGACTAGGGCAAAAAGCCTAAAGAATGGATATTTGGATCAACAAAGGTATATATCTTTTCAGGAAAGTATGTCCACTGGTTTGGTGATGTAAATGTAAAGCAGTAAATTGTTCTTTTCTGTTTTTGGTTTTGACAGTAATGATTAAAATGTGCATGTGGTACAGGCAAGAGAGGGAGGAGAAAAGGTGCCAAGAAAGATCATGCTTGCTTGTACTGTGTCCTCATCCTGCTTTTATTTCTTGTATTCTTTAGCATATAGGAAGTACCACTGTACTGCTGCTTGTTTTTAGCTGCAAAGTTTGTGGTACAAGTAAATTTAAATTTGCCTAAAAGGGGAAGAAACCAGGGGAGCTTGTACAAAACATACTGAAGCCAGTATCTTTTGCCTCTTTTAACTGTTATACTCTCTTGGATTACTGGGTTATTAAATGTAGGTATTTCAGAATTAAGGGTCAGGTATAGATGACTTAAAAGATCTCTAGAATTTACTAGTGCTTTGGACAGTGGGAAAACTTTGTGGTCTATTACAGTTTAGGACAGTGAAGATTACATCTAATCATAATCCTGTTTGCCATATATCCTTTTTATCCCCATTCTTTTAGCAGTGACAAAAAATTAAGTTCTGAATTAATAACATTAAATCATATGGTGGGGTGAAAATATTTGGAAGTAATTAATCAGGATAAAATCCTTCATCGTGTTTTTCTCCCTCACATTTTTTCAGCTGAAGGAGTGTGATAAATTGAACCTGTGCAGTCATACTGTTGAAGAAAGACAGAAGACAATTTGAACCATGGCGAGCCAGGTAAGATCATTTAGTCAGAAATACAGGCTTGCAGTGCCTAAATGGATTCCAGAACCATACTCAGAATTCCTAATAAATGTAAAGCTGACATAGCTAGCTTGCTCTGAGTTGGGTGTTCTTTTAGTCCTATGATTTCTTCCGGCAATGTGGAAATTGGTGGCTGTCCTCATGACACTTAATTGTGTCAACTCAAGCAGGTTGGGGGAGCATTACATTAAGCTTTGGAGTTTGCATTATTTGAGCGTGAGTTCTTCTGAAGGACCTTGCGCATAAAACTCTCTATATTAAGATACATGTGGAGATGCTATAGAGGAAGAACATAAAAGCCTGCGTAAGTAAATGTTGTGGAACATCACTCATATTTTTGGAGGTCCTTGTTCTTCAGAATCTTAATTGAGGGAGGCAACTGGTGTTAATAAGGCTGTTTCCCTTCCGCTTTTGTGTAGTTGCCCCACTCCCTTTTTGAACTGTGGTTTTTGGGGTTTTAGGGTTTTTTTGTGTTTTTGGATTTTTTTTTTATTTTTTCCTTTTTTATTTTTTGTTTAATTTTTTTATTATTCTTCCTTGAGAGGCACTTTTTATGCCTCTCTCTTCCTGGTCTTGCATCTGTGTTTGAGTTTTCCCTCAGCCAAGCTAGTGCCTGTTCCTGGTCTGCTTTCTCCTTAAATTCCATTAATTGGCCTCTTATTGTTCCTGGCCTGGGAGAGTGACTCGCTGCTGGGTAGTGAGGAGAGGCATCTCACAGAAGAAGAATTCCTAGGTGAGGGGAGATAGGGACAGCGGAGATCCCTTCTAGGCAAGAGTGACAATTTCCCTGCCTCTTCATCATGCAGATTGTGCTGCAGCAGGGGTTTTTGCATCCTGGAGCTCAAGCGGAACACAGTCCAGTCCTGAAGCTAATTAACATTTAGGATTGGCCGGCATCAAAGGGCTGTCTGGTTTGTCCCTGATTCCCAGAGGAAGCTGTCAATCCTTTAGCCAGCTTGACAAGTCAGGGGAATATGGCTGTTCATACAATCCTTTGGCTCTGTTATTTTTGCCAGGCGTTTTCCCCAGAGGCTGCTTTCCCTCATGGGAGGCGGAGGGAGAAATGGGACCCCAGGCTTCTTTCAAGGGCAAGGTGAATATGGGGAAATCACCTGTGGTGATGGGGAGTGGGAGGGAGGAATGTAAATGAGGCTAAATACTATAAAGGCGATTTTTTTTCTCCCTACAGGACTTGATGGCAAAAAAAAGAGAATGTCTCCAGGCCTACAGCTGGTGGAGAACACCACAGAAGAAACGGAAGAAAAAGAACAAAATAAAACCGGGAAGAATAGAGTTTGTCCCTAGTAGTACTAACACAGCCAGGTAAAGACCTTTGGAAAGGAGCAGCTCTGACTCTTTTATCTGTTTTAGATTGCTAATGACTAATGAATGTCATAAATTACTTTAAAAATCCTGAAATGGCACACCTGGTGCCTGTACACTGAGTATTGCTAATGGAATTGTATTGCCATTTGAATAATGAAGATATTTTTTCTTAGTTTATCTCTCATAATCGCTTGAGATGTGATGTCAAAATAATCTTGGCTCTTTTTGAATTCTAGCTGTTAACTTAGTATTTTTTTCTTGGTATTTTTGGGTGTCCTGCCCTTCAGGACAACAAATAATCTTCCTAAAACCACCTTTTAAAAAGATTCTTTAATAAATTTGAATCTTTGTTGAAATGCTTGCAAAAGTGGTAAACGGACTCTGAGAAACTGAGAACTTGCTGGATTGATGGCATTACAGTTCTGTACACTGCTCAGCAGAGTTTTGCAGTTAATATTCTTCATATTTTGCTTCCTTATTTGTGCAGTAATAACTACTTGCTTGTATGTTAGTGACTTTAATACTGAAATGAATGGTGTTATTCTCAAACTTAATGGTGGTTCTCTTATCTCTTTAAAGACCGGATTATTCAATATTTGTTGGGGAGCTGACTCCAGAAGTAGATGATTTTCAGCTCTATGACTATTTCCTAAAGAGGTATCCCTCATGTATTGACTGCAAAATAGCAACAGACCTGCTGGGATATTCCAGGTAATGCCTGTGAAAATGTGTTAATGCTGTCAGTATGTTTGTTGCTGTAAGTAATATGTAAGAACTTGAATTTGAACTGGTTTTGAATTTTCTTCAGAGGCAGGGAGAGAGATTAGCCCGTGGCATTATTGTTTAACAACATAGATCCTTGTGTTTCTAAAACTTTATGGGTATTTTTAGCTGTTAATATGTTAAGCCTCAATTCAGCCAAATGCATATCTGCATGAAAGCGGTTAGATGGTGGGAGAAGGGAGAGCTGTGCATGGACATCTTTGCTTACCTACAGCAGTGTGTCCACTTGTCATTTGCACTACCAAGGACAAAATAATTCTCTTTATATGTGTGGAAGAGAAGTATAAGGCCTAGGAAATCATAGGTGATTGGGAGATGGAACTTCTGATATCAGTGAATAATGCCCAATAGAAGTTATAGTGACCAGTTGGAGAGTGAAACAGGGATGAGTGAGTTGGGTGTTCAGAAAACACTGGCTGTAATGGACTAATTCAAGAAGCTTAAAAAAAAAAAAAGAGGAAGTAAGAGAGAGCAAATTTAGAAAGAATGTTGGAGCTGTAGAGCAGTCGGAATGGGTTAATACTGATACATTAACTGCTGTAAGTGCAAAAATGGAGAATCTGGTTACTTACACAGATAGCTGTTAACATGTATTGTTTCTCTGGCTTTCAGCAAGTTGCATCTTAATGCTGTCAACAAAGCTTTTTGCTTCTGGCCCAAGTTTTTAATTTTGCTAAAGCATCTTCTGTGCATGTGCACGTGTTGAGAGGTTACATAGGCAATAGAAGCTATAGTAGCTACTATTTTCTGTTTTCATGAGGACAGAAATTGAATTAATTGGCTTTGTTACTGTTATGAATACTAGAATTTGTTTTCTCCCTTTTGAAAATTGTAGAGGGTATGCCTTTGTCAGATTTGGTGAGCAAGGTGATCAGATGAGGGCACTGCAAGACTGCCAGAATGCACCTGGTCTGGGGGGAAAACGAATCCGACTGAGCATAGGAATTTCTAAAAGGTAACAAATGAGTTGTGCATTGATACAGTAATTCTAAATAATCAGATTCTTTTAGCTTTGCCTTTGTGAAGACTGTGGCCCTTGCTATAATGGCTGTACACAATGCAAAGTCAAAAACCACAGAACCACTATGTTTTGCCTGTCTGGATCCATCAACCTCTTTGAGGATTGCTGGGGAAATCCAACTCTTAAGTTTAGCCAGATTGTATAAGTTGGGTTTAGCTGCTGTTGTGACCATCCTTAATGCTTACAGGAGCGAAGCTGAATGCATTTCTAAGTATTTCACGTTTGGGCCTGAAGAAGGTAGAAGGGACATCAAGTGTTCATTTTTATGCTAGGAAACTTTTCTTCTAGGCCTTTCCCCTTGGCTTAGACAAGGTAGCACATTGTTAGTTTTTAAAGTAGGCAGAGGAAGGAACTCTTTAGTGGAAAAATGCAGAATATAGAGAAGAAGAAGCCAAAGGAGATGTTGATTGAACAGTTTGTTTAGAATACTATTCTTTGCTTCTCAAGTCATTAGGGCAGCAGGAAATTTTAAGTTGATTTGGTTTGAGAGGGATTTTTTTTTCTGCCATCTCAGTTCTCTCAGTCATTTAAGACAATCCAGGTAGAGACTTGATATCAAATTTGATAAACTTTGATCCAGAATACAGACAAAAATAGAACTTTCAATGGAACCATTTCAGTATATATTCATGAGGTTAGCTTGTGTGTTAGAAGGCTAAAAATAACAGCTCCTGCTTATCTTCCCTGGATAATTTTGCTGATACTGCCTCATTGCTTTGGAACAGAAATGCCCTTACCCAAGAGAGCCCTGTCCAGATTTGCTTTGACTAACTTGCTTTGAAAATGAGGTCCCAAAGAAAGTTTTCCTCACTTCTGCTATCCAGAGGAATGTCAGCAGTATTTTTAGTTTTTTCTTTCCTACAGAGATGGATGTAGGAGAGAAGTTGGAAGCAGAAGACTGAGACATTATGAAGTAATTTGTTTACTACAGTACTAAGACAATAAAGTAACTATTTTAGACTGTATGTGTAGCTTTGCAGTAATGAAGCAAAAATGTAATGTGGGTATTGAAATATAGACCACTAATCTACACCTGTTTCTGATTGGCTGAGCAGTAGGCTCTCACAGCATCCAAAAATCCAGCCATCAGAGTAGTTTGTCATTAAGTCACTTACTGTCGCCCTGAAAACTCAGCTTTTATGCTGACATAGTTTTCTAAGACTTTCCCAGGATAGTAACTGTAAACATAGAGATAGGTATACATTCCTTCTGTTACATGTCTTGTGATGGACATCTCTCACGGCCAGTGTGGTTGGGAAAGTGTTATCCTGACCATCCAATCCCTGGCCGTGGTCAGAAACCTATAAATCCTGGGAAGAAAAATAAACTTTCTCTTCCATTCACCACAGCTCGAGCTGTGTCCGTGTGATCTATTCATTGCCAGCGGCAACACTTACGATGGAAACCATTTCTGAGCTCCTTCCGTTCGAGTTCTTGGCAAAAAGCCCCAATCTAAATTTTCTGTAGGAAGCTGGAGGTAGAGACATTGGACACTGCAAACACAGGATGTCTGCTTGTATGTAATCAGTGAGGAAATGTCTAAGCATAGGGGATTTCTTGCAATGTGCAGCTGATTTTTCCTAATGTTTTCCATGTACAATATCTCTGTTTTAGAACAGACTGTTCTTGCTCAGTGGTACTTGTCATTACTCAACTTGAAGTTGTCCCTGGGAAAAATCTGCTCAGGAAAGGGAAAGCAGTGAAAACTAATCATCTGGCCCTTTGGTCTTCATAGCTTACGAATTTTGTAGTTTTTCTGCTGCTTTGGCTTCATTCTGGATAATGGCAGTGCTGACTTCACCTGACAGCTAAGCTTTGGCAACTGTTCATGGACCAAAACTTGAGAAGGTGAAGGTAGACATGGTAAATTGACAGGCAGTGTCAGGTGCTGCTCTCAAACAGATAATCTGATTTTGCCCCTTGTTTCTGGGAATAACATGATTTCATATTAACAGAACAAAAGATGGAAGGACTAATTAAATGTTCAAAGTGTCTTTAAAACAGCAGTGTTTGGTAAAGGTCTCTGATCTTAATGAAGCATTTTTTTATCAGTAGCTTGCTTAAACAGATACCAAAACTGAATATAGGTAAATATAACTTTGGTTAATCCATAGAAATAATTACTTTTGCCATTGGTGAAGGTGAGCATTTGCTCTCCTTATAAACATGAGGTATTGTGCTGTGACAGAAAACTTAGTCAAATATTTGGAAAAACTTCCTCATAAATTTGGAGTGTGTGAAGTTGTTTAACTTCAAAACTGGATTTACAGTTGTTTTCAAACTCTTAACTATATATACACCTTCTCACGTTTCAGACTGAAAGCAGAATTCCAGCGGTACCAGTCATACAACTATAATGATTATTACCAAGATTATCAGAACTACTATTCACAGTGGAATTACGATCCCTACGCTGACTACAACTACAGCTCCTATACTCCCTATGATAGCATGCAAGCTGTTGGAGACTGCTCTTTAGGAGATGCTGTTATGGCTCCAGCTGTTTTTGAGGTAAAGATACTACACAGTTAATTACAAAAAAAACAAGGACAACTAACAAGTCATATGGATTGCGTAAATCAGCGCAAGAAAGTCCTAAAACTGAAATTATGCAATCAGTTATTATGCAGGCGTGAAGGTCATGTTCAGCATTTTGGATTTAGGTGCTTGAGTGCATCTGTAGAATTAGATATTTGACATACGTGAACAAATATTACTGCATAAATAACAGTTCTGACAGCAGATTTTGTAGTGTTTCACGCTGTTTTTCTGATGTACTTTGCTTAAAGCAAAATAAAAAGTTGTTGTAAGGTGATCATGTCTAGGTCAGTCAGTTGATCAATTACAACTTTCAAAAGTGTCTTTGAAGTGGAACTATACAATGTTTTTTAAAAAAAAAACTAACCAAACAAAAAGACTAAAACCAAAGCATTAAAAAAGCAACACACAACCCACAAGAAACCCTTCCCCAACAAATATCACCTGCTCCTACTTATTTTATAGCTGTGGAAGGAGGGGAATGTTTGGGAGCATTAAATTATTTTGGATTTGTGATGCTTTCTGAAACTATGATTTTTTTATTTTTTTTTTTAGGAAGCTTCAGCTATGACTGAAATCAATGATGACCTAATAACTGAAGGTAATGATAATTCTATCACTGCAGCTTGAATTTAGTCATAGTTCTGCCCTTTAACAATATAAGCCAGTGATTATTGGATAAAGACTGGGCTGTAGGTAAGATGAGGTAGGATTTTAAAGCCAATAGTGTACACCATGTCAAGTAGAATGGGACATTGTCAACAATGTTTTGCAGTAGGCTTCTTGTAACTTTGCCTTCATTCTCTTTCCAGAATGGTCTGTTGGAGAAGTTGCTGTATCATTGTATTGATTCTGCTAAGATTATTGTATGTTAAGCTCATTAGTAGAGACATCTTGTAATAATGTCCAAAAATTTTAATTAGCCCCTAAATCTCTGCTTCATGTGGAAGTACCAGTATAGTCCTAGCATTCGAATACACTATTTCCAAAAGAAGCTGGACTTTTTAGCTTCGTTAAAATTCTAGGTGAATAAACATTCCACTAGATGTATTAAGTTCGTTAAAGCATTAAATTTACCTAAAGTATGCTTTTATTAGGCTTTTACTTCAGGTCTCTGTGTGCCAGTCTCCCAAGTCCTGACACTTTTACTTACCAGGCTTTTATTTTCAGATCCACAGCTGTACTTGGATGTTGATGAAATGAACAGACAATTTATGGAGACAAGTGAAGAACTCTATGATGCCCTCATGAATTGTCACTGGCAACCTCTGGATACGGTCACTTCTGACATCCCCTCTGCTATTTAAGTGTCTTATATAGCATGACCGTTATAACCAAGGTGCTAAAATTACATTTCTTCTACATTACTCTAGATCATAAGTTTTAAAGCACAATGATAGGTTGGGGTTTTTTTGCTATGCTTTTGGCAGTTTCTGTAATTTGTTTTGTTTTGTTCATCACTTGGAGCATCTTGAAATCATGTAAATATTCTAGAAATGTAAAGAGTTCAATGGGGTCTAAAGATAGACTTGCCTGTGTAAATAAAATTTTGTTTCTGCAAACTGGCCAGCAAGGGATTTTACTGACATATGTGAAACACCTTCTCTTCTGGCTTGTGAAATTTAGCTGGAGGCAGTAGGGGTATTTCACCTGTCTTTGGTATGGGCATCAGCACTAGTAAGAACTAACTCTCATGTACTTCAAGATACCTAGGCAATTTTAAAAGCTCTTAACATGCTGTACAGTTTTAACATACAGAAGGGTAAACTTTGAGCTGCTGTAGCTGCAAACATTCCAAAGACTTAAGGATGATAGCTAGTGATAATTTTATTTTTGCCCATCTTGTTAGTCTTCTCATCTGACCCTTTACAGCAGAGAAACTGGTGTAATATAATACCTGTTCTTACACATAAAGATCCTTGGAGAAAACACTGTGGTTTAAAGGAGGAAGGAAAACCTGTCAGGAATTAAAGTATCCCAGTATCCTCTTTAACTAAGTTGTGTGCTATCCTAAACCTCTGTTATTTGTTCAGTCTTCATGCTTAGATGTTTCATAGAGATGAGTTTGATAACATTTTCATAGGGTGGCAGGTCTCAGTTGAAGTCAAAAGAGGTTAGGTGAGATGGTATTGAAGAGAGTTCTGTTTTAAGACAGCGACTTCTGAGTGGCTTCCTCTAAACTGTTCTTACCTGAAAGTATTTTCCAGTCCTAGGGACAGCTTAAGCTCCTGTTACTACTTAATGTACACAAAGTAAATTTCAGGGTGGAAACAAAATAACACTTTTTTGAAGAGAAGGTGGTAGAAATTATCATATAGCTAATACATCTGAAAGCTACTCAAGGCATTTTGATACTTCCATGTGTGTTTGGGGGCAGTCTAAACCATAATTGCTAGGATGGCAGGTTTTTTTGGTTTTTTTTGCTTTAATGACTTAATTGCATTCAAGTGGTGGTCATAACCTATATGCTGTTCTTAAATGTGAAACTAGTACTGCATTGCAGAGTGATGACTTGGCATAGCAGGTCCCTTCTACCTGCTCCCCAGAACCTCCCTCTTTTCACAGTTTAATTTCAGCTGGGACTGTGTTTTTCTAAGTCCCACCCATGAAATACAGATGCTCTAAACTAGGAAGGTCTTTCGGTGTGATACAGGAACTTCATTCTTCCTGGATTTTGTGCATTGCATATGTAGAAGGAGAGAAAACAAAACCCCCTCATTCAGGCAGGGAGATTACTATCACAGTCTTAGAAACTGCTTCCCTACATTGAGAGAACTAGTTGCAAAGTGGTTGAATACTGGGATTTTGTTGGTGAATGCTTCCCTAGTGTGAACTGGTCAGTCTTTGGAGGGGCATAGTAGGGAGATTATTAATGGAAATGTGACAGAAAGTGGAATAAATGAAACAAAGAGAATCTGGATGGGAAAGGGAATTACTTGTGTGCCTGTATAGAATAGTTTCACATGATTGCAGAAGGGTGGAAATTCAAGATAGTAGGTGCAGACCCCTTGAATTTGGATGTGGGGGTGTTAAACTTTCAAAACTGTGCTGGATTTGATGTCACTTGAGTTGTAGTGCACAGCTGTGGTGCCTAAGCTTGGTAGTACTAACCAGTTGCTAGGCAAAGGATTTTGTATCTAGCAAGAATCGTCATCACAAGCTGGAAGATTATAACCCAGGCACAGACCTGGAAGCTTCCTGCTTTGAAGTGCATATCCTGCTTTGCATAGTGTTACCTAACACCATACTTAAGCTACCGTAAGTACTTTGTGGAAACCTTTTATTGTGTTATCAGATGCTAAAGATGTGTGTTGGCTTGGTAGAAATCCTATAGAGCATCCACTGATTTTTAAGTTTTGGGAGGTTGATCCATGTGTGAATTATGTAATGAGGAGCCCATGTAGTTGTGTGATTTCACTTACATCAGTACTGTATCACCACAGCACATAAACCTCAAAAGTCAGAGTCTGTATTCACCATATTTATGCAGATTTGAAATATTAGCAAGGTCTCCACACTGCATTAGAGACTGTTTTCAGACATGCACCTTCTGTTCTGGCCTGTAAAGTACCTGTATAGTGAAAATACTGTTTATGAAAAGCAGTGAAAGAGGTTGTTTGGGCCATTAGTTCTGCAAACCTGAGAAATGTTGGGGAATATATTCTTTTTAGTCAGCACAGAAGAAAAGTGAGGTGGAGAAGGGAGTCTGCTGGTTGCAGCCCGTGTGATAGTTTTAAATAGCTGTTTTTTGTCTCCTGATGCTTTCTAGTCTATACTGCTTACCAGATAGGAGTGCATATGTGGGATCAAGGTACTGTGTGCAGCACACATTCTTTACTGTAAAGGCACACTGAAAAAACTTCTCTGTATTGGTGTAAGCACAAATTTGGGAAAAAGTGAGCTCATCAGATCTGCTGGCATTCATTACTGAGACTTCTAACTGAGGAAACTTCCAGTGATGGTCCAACTACTGCCTGCATTAGCGAGCTTACACAGACCTCAACGTGCTCATCATACAGATGCCTGCTCTCAGTTCTACCAAGAGCTGATTGCAGTAGAAACATGAAACAAAAAGTATTGTGAGCAATGTTTTCAACACCACGCTATCTCACTTTTGTTATGTTTTGTCTGTTTTACCCAGCTGAAATGTTGTGGGGTTTTTTAAGTCTGATAAGGGGTTTTTTTGAATAATATCTTGTATTAGTTCTATAAACTCTTCTTTTACCTAGCTGTGATAGATAGTGCCTTTACCCAAAACCCACTTATTTCTTGAAGAAGAGTAATGTTTTTGTTTTCCACTTCTCTGAACAGAAAAGCTTTAGTACCATGGTTTGAGGGGCTAATCATCCTGCAGTCAGTGAACAGCGAGAAAGAAACAGGCTAAAAACCAGTGAAGACTGAAAAGTGTTCAGAAAGCTTAAATGGTACTTAAGCCGTGAATGTTTCTTTTTGCAGGGATGCTCTTGGACCAACAGCTTCTTTCTAGCGCTACCTCAAAGTAACTTGCAGATATAACTCACAGGGAAGATTGATCAAATGGTGATGATCACTATCATTCTGCTGGAGATATATATATATATATTTGCCTTTTGTCTCGTTTTTAATGACATTTATTTAACTTCATTGACTCATGTCAATAGATGTTTGGCTACATCAACAAGTATTTCTGAGTTTCTTTCAAGGTATGTCACCATATGGAAATTGTTCTAAATAAGTAAATAAAGTAGCACTTGAATTTACAGAGCAAATGTAGTGTAGCTGCATTTAACACTTATGTGGAAGAGAAAATCACATTTACAGCTTAGCTTAATATTCTTAGCATGCATAAAAGAGGGAGGCTTGTTTTAAATTTGTCCACCTCTTACATGACCAACACAGGAATGATTTTAGTCAATTCCCCACACAGGTACCATTTTAGAAGCCAGCATTGTTATTAATGAATATCTGTTACCAATGGGCACTGTTTCCATCCCTCTGTAAATCAAGCTCTTTCCATAATTGAAACACATTATGCTAGCCTTCCTTCCCTTCCCCTTAAGCTGAAAGCTAGCATGATAATTGGTTCCTGGACAAAATTAGTAACAAATGCAGGCTAAAATAGGATTTTTTGTGTTTTGATAATTACATTGATGTAGATCTTGACATGCCCATTGTAGAAGCAGACCACCATCCTAAAATTAGTCAGCAGCTGTAGCACACTAGTCATTTACACCAAATGAGGCGGTTCTTGCAAGGTGACGTTTAACATGCATGTTCTAGGATAGGAATTGTCTATCACTGCAAGTCATCCCCCTGCATGTAAAATAGTATTCACAATTGTGGGGCAGAAGAGTAAGAGTGTAGTTTGAGAAGAAATATGTGGAAAAATAATTCCACTGTGCTGGGTATTGGATAATGGTTATCTCCTGTAGATAATGGGACAAAGAAAGTGAGGAGTTAAGTCATGTAGGAGAGCTGGGAAGAGCCTGATGAAGTTCAGAAAAAGCCAGTATGAAGCAGAGATGAGGCAGCACAAAATTTCCCAGTACCATTTCTTCTCACAGTTGTTCCTCTGTAGCTGCTGCCCATTTACATTTCTGCACGCTTTCAGAATCACCCTTGTTTGAGCCCCCCATGATTCCACTCATGCCTCCTCCAGTTCCACACATGCTTTCCTCAGGTGTGTGCTGTGATAAATCTTTTTTGTTTTTCCTGTAGAAGGGGTATGTGGTGCATCAGGGCTCTGTCCTCTGAGTAACATTTTTATTGACTTGTACACAGGGATGGTGCTTGTGATTTTCTGCACTCCTTACCTCTATCCTTCCCACGGAGATTTGATGCTAAAAATAAAATGTGAAACCATAGATTTTTCTCAACTTCACTTAAAAGTAGAATAAAAAAAATTTTACGTATTTTGACTTTGTACTAGGAATGCACTCTTCCTCATGTTTTGAGGAAGTAAAAGCCGTGCTGAAGCTTTTTTTCCCCCTACATCCTTTCCATATCCTGACACTGAGCGATGAAAAACCTGCACGTGCTTTTTCTCTGTCTTTTACAAACCATATCGCTAGTGGCAGCCTGGGGGAGCACTGCGGACCTCCCGGTGCCGTTTTTCCTGCCGCGTTCTTCACGCTGTTCCTCGTCAGGGTCGCGGGAACATCCCCCTCACGCTGTCTCTTGGGGCAGTTTCAGCGTGGGTAAATTGCATCCCCAGGGGCAGAGCATGTCGAGGACGGAGCCAGGCTCTAATCGGTGGTGCCAAGCAGCAGGTCAAGAGGCAACGGGCAGAAACCGATGCACAGGAACTTCCACCTAAATAAGAGGAAAAAAAAATCTTCACTCTGCGAATGACCGCGGACTGGAGCAGGGTGACCAGAGGTTGTGGGGTCTCCCTCACTTGAGAAATTCAGGAACTGTATGGATGCAGTCCTGTGCCATGCGCTCTGGGACGACACCGCTTGAGCGGGAAGGTTAGCCCAGATGACTCACTGTGATCCCTTTCAACCTGAGCCATTCTGTGAAACGCCGCGGGAAGACGGGAGAAGGAGGTGGAATCTCCCGGGAGGACCCCAGCACAAACCTCCGCTCTTAGCCGTTAAGGCGTCCATCCCTAAGCTGAGTCCGGGGCCGGACATTTCCCCCGCCACATCCCTTTGCGGGTCGGGCAGGTCCCAGTCCCAGCGAGCGCTTTTCCCGCGCAGCCGGCCGGGCCCGGCCCCTCCCGCTTCCCTGGGAGCGGGGGCGGTGCGCGCGCGCGGGGGCTGCCGGGCCGTCCGCCCGGCGCCGCTTCTGTGACGCGCCCGCGCGGGCTGGTGACGCGCGCGCGGCCCGGGGCGGCCGCCGTGGTTGGTCGGTGGGGCAGGGGGGTGCGGCGGTGGCGGCGGCTCGGGCCGCGGGCGGGCGGGCGGACAGCGCGCGGGGCGCCGCCGCCGGGCGGGAGAGCGCGAGCGAGGAGCGGCGGGCGGGGGGATCGCGGAGGGAACGCGGGGAAGGGAGAGACGCGTGAGAGAGACGCGTGAGCGCGCGCGCGCGCGGTAGGGGCGGGGCGGAGGCCGCGGAGGAGCCCCCCGCGCGCGCACCAGAGGCCGCGCGCGGCGCGTGGCGGGCGGGAGCGGCGCGGGGGGAGAGAGGCCGGGCCGGGCGCGTCCCCGCGGGGACGGTGACAGCGACAGCGCTGCCGGGCCGCCGCGGAGCACAGCGGCCGCACCAGGAGGAGGAGGACGAGGCCGCCGGCGGCGGCGGGCCGGATCGCATCATGGCCTCGGGTGGCAGCGGCGGCGGCGGCGGCAAGATCCGGACCCGACGGCACCACCTGGGAGCCGCGAAGCCGCCCTACGCGAGGGGCAAGCAGCAGGTGATGTCGCGGGTCAGCCCCGTGAACCCCTTCCCGTCCTACCCCGCTTCTAACCCCGGCGTTCCCCTCAGCGGCGGGAGGAGGCGCCCCGGAGGCCCGACCCGGCAGAGCCGCCTCTTTTCTCCGCCACCCTTCCCCCCTCGCCGCTCTCCACGCAGTCCCACGTGCGCGGCTTCGGGCCGGGGTTTCCCGGTGGAGCGGCCCGCGGGGAGGGAGGAGAGAAGGGTTTCCCGCCGGGGCCGCGGGGATTGTGGGATTTCCGGGCGCTCGCCCCGCTCCGGCACCGCCGGGCTGCGGGGGGATTCTCGCCTCTCCTTTGTCTCCCGCCTGTCCCCCGCTAGGCAGGAGCAAAGGCGGGAGGAGGAGGAGGAGGAGGAGGAGGAGGCGGCTGGGAAGGGGTAGGTGCGCATTCCCTCTCCTCGCGGCTGAAGCGGGCTGGCTCTCACTCCGCGGGATGCTCGTTTTGTCTCCGGGCTGCCACGGTTAAATCGTGGTTAAATCGATCTTAACTGGGTTATCAAGTTAGAGTTACTCGTCAGATTTAAGTGCATCTCTTCCGATATTTGGCTTTCTTGATAAATTCCGGGTTGCAGATGAGTCTGTGAGAGTGCTGGGTCATTAGGCATCTTACGTTGTTGGTGTGGGGATTTTTTGTGGTGGGTTTTTTGGTGGGGTGTTTTTTGTTGGTGTTTTGTTTTTGGTTTTTTGGGTTTTTTTTGTAGGATGCTGCCTGAAGAGCCCTTCGGTTTCTTCAGTGGCTTGCCTGTACCTAAACCTGCTGGTGCAGTGAGAGCGAAATGTAATTCATAAGGCATTTGTTCCCCTTTGTATTGTAGGAGAGAATAGACGGATAACAGAAAACAACAGTTTATAAATTGCAGTACAAAGATCCTATGCCATTTAGAGTGGCTACAGGGAGTAGAAGCAAAGATCCTTCCCAACTCCTGTTTGTCAGGGAAATTCAAGATGCCTCGAGACAGTGCTCTGGAAATGCTTTTCTCGTGTATTTATGAACCTGAAATCGACTGTAAAACCAAAGCCATTTGCATTATTAAATCGGTAATATAAGCCAGGAAATTAAATATTGTATGTATAATTGAGGTGTGTTACGCATAAATTGTCGTTCAATTAGTTTTTGTTATTTGGGAAGTACTATACTTAATCCCTTTTATAGCGCACTGATCAGCAGCGTTGTCCTTGTAAAGCAGGCAGAGTGACGCTTCATCCAAAGAATCACTGCACTTGCAGAGCAAATGTTGAAAGGTCTTACGTGAACAACAGAGTAAGGTTGAAATTGCAATGTCCTGCACGTGGTGATACTCTGTAGATGAATTTAAAATATTTAGGTTAGATGGTTTTCTGATTATTCTAATGTCTGTGTGTTTTCTAGTAGGTATATTTAAACAATGGGGCAAAGCATACACGTGCTTGGGGGATATCTGGGATTCAGCCCAGAGCATGGGTGCTGCAAATCAAATAATCAAATTAGCAAGTACTATATTGGGGAAGAAATGGTAAATAGGCAAACAGATAGGTGTCAGATATAGGCATTTGTTGTAAGGGATAGCTTCTTAACCCTATGTAGCTTGCTAACTTGTGTTACATACAAAGGTGAGCTCTGGGTAGATAGGTGAACTGAAATTAATTGATAGATGTACCTGTTTGCAGTATAACATCCACTCTGCAGAAAGTATTCTGTGGTTTGATGTTGTCTCAGTAATGAGTTTGGGAAGACATGGAAGTGCTCAGTGCAGTCTGGACATGATCTCCTGCTCCTCTAACTAGTATCAATAAGTAAGCTCATAGAAATACTGTATTAAAACTGTTATAAGTGCTTGGGGTCAAGACTGCAATCCAGAAAACTCAGTCTCTTATCATCAAGCTCTGAAGGTGCCTAAGCACTGAATGCCATATTGCCAATATTTTTAAAGTTGTTATGATATCTGATTCTCTTCCACTTGTATGAAAGATGAGTAGCATGATGGCAGGCTTACAATAGTAAGCCTGGTGTGTGTTTTTCTGATGTGGTTATGCTGTCATAAGGTTGTTATTTTGCCCTAGTCTCCGAAGAAGCTTGGTCAGGTGGGAATTCTCCAGTTGTGCCCAGTGTGCTGCTGTGTCCTATTAAGTGCAGCAGCGGCTTTAGAAGACATTTGGAAGAGGAAATGCTGCTGCTTTTCAAAGATGATTAGCTAAAGCATTTGTTCAAAATGTGGTAGACCCTGCTTCGGATTTCTTTTTTGCCTAGAGGCATCAACCTACATCATCCACTTTCTGGGCAAATATCCCAGTTGCCAAGCTGTGTGTTGTCTTTGAGTTCTTCTGACTGGAACTGTGTTATTACCCAGAAAAAGAATGTGTGATTCATTGAGCGAGGAAGAGGATGTATAAGAAGATGTTACCTTCCA